AAATGGAGGGTGATGTGAGCACTGGTGAGTATTCAAAGAAAGCTCTGCTTAGTTAGTGTAATGGGAAGACCCAGACTACAGAATTTTGGCCTCTTCTTAGTGCAGATCTTATTCTGATACAGAAACCAGTATCATGCCTGTAAGTTTTCAAATGTATCATTCTGATCCTAACCACATTTTGCTCCAAAAGCTGTCCCCAATCCAGATTTGTTGTGCTGGTGTGCTGTGTTGTTTAGGAGAAAATGCAACTTCTCTCTCTTCAGTGGTATATTATTATTTTTAATCCCATTTCCCTAACTTTTGCTTCCTGTTCACACAATTCTCCATGCTTTCAAGTGTTAACTTGACAAAAATGGGCTATTGGTTCAAGAAGCAATTAGACCTTACAGATTCTACAGTGTTCACATAACTTTTCCTGTGTTCCAGAGTACATGCTATTAAGAGAGCACACATAGTTGGAGAATGCAACAAAAACCAGATGTGCTTACCTTCTGTTTCTGCTTCATTGTATTTTGGCTATCTTCTAATCATTTTCATGTTAACATCTTAACATTTAATAAAATTGTTGAAAGAGTGCCATTCTTGAAGACTGAACTCGAGATATACTAGGTCTTTCCAAAGACACGTCTATAAGGGAGAAAGGTCTCTTAACATTGTAGGTAGGGTTAGCTTGCTGAGTATGCCAGAAGAGGATGTACTATCGAACCTGTAGTTCTTGATTTGTTATTGAATGACTGTTTCTTTGTAGCTTTTTAAGGTCCAGACTGAGTTTAAAAGACACCATTTGACTTTCTAATGTAAAAAGACTTCTAGAATGTACTTGCCCAAGACATATCTCAATATATAACAGTCACTGAATGTTTTCTGTGTGACACTATATCTAAGAGTTTTACAAAGTGACCCATAGTGATCTCATGTAATCCTTACAATAGCCTTTTGAGTTTATATATTAATCATATTTATAGATGGTGAGCCAAGTGTTTATGGGTGAAGTAACATGTTTTGAGTAAGTGTAGCACAGGTAAGAACTGAACCTAGATCACTTGAGTGCAGAGCTCATGTTCTTAGCTACTATCGTTAGCTACCCCTTTGTAAATTAGGGGCTGTATTAATCAGGATTCCCCAGAGAAGGAGAACCAATACAAGAAGAATTGTTACGAGGGATGATTGAAATGATTTTGGGGTGAGAAGCCCTCCAGTATACTATACCAGATGTATAGTTTCAGTCTTGATTCTGAGGCCTTGAGAACCAGGAGAAATTATGGCATAAGTTTTTAGCCCAAGTATGATGGCCTGAAAACTGGAAGGCTAATGGTGTAATTTCTAGTCTGAGAACAAGAGAAAAAACCCATGTTTTTGCCCCCAAAGAGGGAGAAAACTCCCTTCCTCTGCCTTTTTGTTCCAGTAGGGCCTGGAAAGGACTGTAGGCACATCTAGGAATAATGTTTTACAAGTTATCTGTACAAGTAGCTCAATCTAGTTGACACGTAATATTAACCATCACGGTATCTGTAAGAAGCTAAGCTCTTGAAAGATTTCTGTGGTTATCCGTAGGCACTGCTCAAGTGAGGAGAACTCACTGTTGAGAGAGGGCTGCTGTATGATCGTTGCATGGGGACTGGTAAACTGCAGCTGTCATCTGATGAAATATAAAAAGAAGCATAAATATCATGGTAGTCACTTCAGTGACCTCCAAGGAGGCCGTGCCACTCTTTACTGCATTTTGAAGTGATAACACCTAACAGAAGGTCTTCTCTAATCACCATTTATCTTTTACTGGACTGTCTCATCACAAATAGTGAATATTTTTTTTACCCCCAATACCATTGATGAGGCCCGTGGGATTAGGACAATTATAAATAACTGATACATTCTGTTTATAAAAGAGATAATTAGAGAGGTTGGTGGTAATAAAATTAGTATAAATATATAACATTATGGAGAAGTGAGCATGTATAAGATACAGTTCTGTGTATTTCACTTCATCACAACACTGAGATACAATGAGCCCCATTTTACAAATAAGGAAATGTACACACAGAGAATCTAAGTTGCTTAACCAGAATCACAAGTTGGAAAGGATGGAGTTCAGAGTTGAGCTTAGGAAATCTGGAGCCAGGATCCCTATTCATAACCCTAAAGGTGTGGAGCAGAATCCAGGTGCAGTGAAAAATGATGCATATAAGATGGAGAAAACAACCCCTTTGTATGTAGAAATTTACATTCCTTTCTTTTTTATTTTTGGTTCTGGGGATCGAACTCGGGTCCTTGTACTTGGGAGCCAGGTGGTGGAACCACTGAACTAAATCCCCAGCTCCAGAAACTTTCTTTCTTGGTCTGGACTCTCAACTCAGGGTGAGCTGCAGGTAGTCTAAGCACACTCTAGGCCCCAGAGGCAGGATCATCTTTCCTTAGTTACTGCTTGAAGTGAACATAGGCCTTTCTTTCTGTGTTCCTGACTCAAACCGCAGGTGGTGTCCACTGGGGCCAACTTCCCTGGGACTCTTCAGGAAATAGCAATAACCGGGGGAAATTGGACAGTAATTACCTGGCATTAAGTTGAGACCTTTTGTGTGAAAGGCATATGAAGATAGGCCTTTCAGCAACTTAATGAGCCTTATCACAGGCCTTCAGCTTTTCTGAATAAATTTGGAAGTAATAAAATGTCGGACTTAGCTTTCAAACCAAATTATACTATAGCATTATTTTGAAAGACCTTTGGAACAATTGAATGAAAGTTATTTTTTCTTCTTCTCCCTGAAAATAGAATCATTTCTCTTTATTAATAGAACTTACAGTAATTTCAGAAGTTTCCCAGTAAATAAAAGTGTTTAATGAAATTAAATAGAATCTGATTTGTAAAAAGGAACTCAATGCCACGCTGTATCCTGTTTGCCTTTCGTAGCTTTGTGCATTCATTCATTAAATATTTTATATTAAATATATAAATTTTTAAAATTTATTGTGGGCCAGGCCCTGTGCTAGGCCCTGGTAATACTGGAAAGGGCAAACAAAAGGGACATAAGACAGCAAATGAAACACAAAGGGAATGTGATCAGAGCTTTTGAAGAGTGCTGGGCAGGGAATAACAGGGAGTTGTACTGGGGAATGTTGATCTGTGTTAGCTAGATTGGAGCGACAAGCTCGGGGATATGACATTGAACTGAGGATACCTCAGAACCACTCACAGGATAAAACTAATCCTCAGGAAATGTATATATAAATATCTCTTTTAGTGATGATGCATTAAGTCTTTTTGTACCTTTCTATCCCTGTTTGACTTGCGGTATCTTCTCTATGGCATGTTGTGCCATCCAGGGACTTATTACAAGATATACAGACACTTTTTTCATACTGTGTATTTACTCTTCCAAATTAATTCCTGGCATTGTATCTCATGTTTCATTTGCTTCAAAAGTAAGGTGATTTTATTAACATAGGAAGAATTCTAGGACAGGAACGTACCCTATTTTCCATTCTGTGGTATGTGTGATGGAGCAAACTGAATTTAAACAGAGGGACCTGTCCCTCAAGCAAGGTGACCTTTCTTGGGTGAATTAAATCATGTCTCATGTTGCTTAAAGGATGAGATGACTCCAGAGAAATGTTGAGGGGGACAGAAATCATAATGGAGTTTATTCTCCTATTTTATATTTGTATTCATCTTTTAAAAGAATATAAGAAAATCTTTCTCTGAATAGTCTTTAAGAATAAAATGATTGGAAGTTTTCTTTAAAGTTGGCTTATTATATTTTTGTACTGTAAATCACCTGGCAAATCTAATTTAAATGCAGTTTTGTTTAATGACTAGTGTTGGTATTATGATTCATCACTCATTGACTTAATTAGTAACATTTGACTTTATGTACCCAAAATGTCCAATTTGCATACTGATATTTTTTTCAGTTAAATAAAAGTATGGTTCAGGAAGATAAAGCGTTTTCCCCCCTAATTTTCAAGCATGCTTTTAGCTTTTGTTCTTGATTGCCACCAGGTATAAACCATTAGTGTGAATAGCAGTACACTTGGTTAGCAGAGAAGATGACTGTTGTTCTGCATGGACCAGGATGGTCTGGGTTCAAATTATGCTGTCTGTGTAATGGGAAGTTACTTTAGGTCTCAGTGTTTATTTCTTAATCTTCAAATAGGTACCTATGTCATGCATAGTACCTATGTCCCTACTATGTACCACGGTGACCAACTCTTATAGGAGAGAATGAATTTTAAAACTATGTAGTGTTGATTTTACTATTAATATGGATTATAGTATTGGAAGGCGTGGAGACTGACTTCTGGAGGCCATGACTCTGGTCTCCTGCTCTAAAGAGAAACCTTCGCAGTCCATCTGTGATTAGTTTCATGGTTCTTGACTTGGATCATGAGTTCCGTCCTGCATATGAAGCTGTGGCCAAGGCCCCCCATAGTGACAGGTTAACAGAGGCACCTTCAAGGCACATCAGTTTTGCTCCGATATTTGAGGGATTTAAAGTGTGTATGTCTTCAGTGCAACACAATTATGTTATGAAATAGTATGAAAATTTTCATGAATTTTTAAATAATAGATTAGCTTTCAAAAACTACTATATTTACATTTCATAGAAAACTTTAAGATTGACTCCCCCAGGCCCCTAAGATCATTCTCTTTTGTTATTTTGAGGACTTCAATGGAAATGCTTTAGAAACATCAGAAAAATGGATGGTCTATTTATTTGAAAGGAAATTCTAGGATTTTTAAAAAAGGCATCTCAGATCTTTCTGCATTTTTAGATAATGAGAATTAATGATATTATGCAACCAGTTTTGTGCAGGTGGTGAAATTCCAACGTGACTGCAAGTTGGTTTGATGCACAGGTTCGTTTGGCTATTTGGGAGGTGATGTTGGTCCTGGAGAAAAATGCTTGAGTCTCGGCTTGTGGGATTCAAATATTGCTTCTGTTTAACAGTGCGTTGCCTTTCTCTTCATTCAGTACTCTCATTCCTAATCCTATGTTTTCTCATAGGTCCCAAGGACCAGCCGGACCTTTCCTTTGAACCCTAGGCACTGGCATGCATTTGCTTTCTCTTCGCCTCCCCTCAGGGGTCTCAAGGCATCTTTAAGAAGGAGACTAGTAAGTGGCACCTCCACCCATCTGTTTGTGCGGGCTGTAAACCACGGGGTCATTGTGGACACCTGCCTGACCTTCGTCGTGCCCCTTCCCATTCATCTTTCTTTCTCCCAGTCCATGCATGGCTGCTTGGTTTTCCACTCATTTCCCTCTGTAATTATACCTTTATTCTATTCATTGGCTCTGTTTGATTTGTGTCCAGCTCTCCCACTGGGCTGTCGATTCTATGAAATCAAGCATTGTTTTTCATGGTTTTATCACCTGACTCAGAACAAGAACTCAGTAGTTAGTTTGACTGAATAAATATATGATTGGCCGTGGTAAATCCAAGACAAATTCAGGTGTGGGTGGAAAAGTAGAGGGCATATTTCTATATCCCACATGAATCTCCTGGACTGAATTTGTTTTAAGGAGAAAGGGCATCTTTTGACCATGATACCAAGTACAAAGTTGTTTGGACCAAATGGTGCTGGGAAGGCTAAAGCGTTTAGGGTTTGTATTAGAAGTGCTGGGATTTACAGTAGGTGGGAACCCTGGTGTAATGATTTCAAGCCTGGACTCTATTGGTGGAGAGTCAGTGCTCCAGAATTTGCTGAGAACAGGCAGACCAGCAACTCACTGGGAGAGGTAGACTAACCCTTGAAGTTAAACCCATTGCTACAGTTTTGCATTTATATGACAGGCATCAAAGGTCAGACTCCCAGGTTGTATGTCAAAACTCATTCTACTCACAACTGACTAAATGAAAATGAGGAGGAAGATGATGAAAATAGACCCCAGTGATTTTTTCTTTATGCCATTTTCTATGCCAAGAACTTATGTGAGTAAGTGATAATGTACCTCCATTATATGGCTGAGGAAAGCAGTTTGAGCTTACATAATTTGGGTGACAGACAGAAACTAAGTTGCCTAGCTGGGTTTGAAATGCAGATGTGACCAACCCTGCAACTTGAGCTTCTGGCTGCCAGTGATTACAGTAGGGCAAATATTTATAAGGATAAATGTTAATACTAGTATCCCTAGTGTGTACCAGCCACCAGAACAGAATGCACATTTGTTTTCTCCTTTTACTCTTATAAAACAGGTAAGAAATTACATGTTACTAGGCTCTTTGGAGGTTTGAGGAGTTTGTATGTTTGACTAGCATCCCTTGGGTCTTAAAAGTTCATTTAGGATAATGATAATGATAATGATAGTAATAATAATACTGAAAACAACATAGAGAATGGAAAGGACCCTGTGGAAAGACTGAACATGATTTCTAGTATTTTTGAAATGTTTCTAGTATTCTTTTGTGTCCACTAGCGTTTATTCTATAGTGAGTCTTTACTTGAATGTCATAGAGAAAACCCTTTCGCTTTCTGTCTATATGTGACTATAGTGATATTAAATTGCCCTTGATGTGTTTGATGCTAAAGACTGTCCAGCCCAGAAGGAGACCATGTGCTGCAGGTTAGAAGCACAGGTGCTGGACCTGGAGTCTGAGTCCAGGTTCAACTTACGCTGCTGTCCAGCAGTTCCACCCCGGGGTGTTTCTCCATGCGTCTTCAGTTGATTTCTCAAATCTTCATGGAATAACCACCGTATCAAGTGATGTGCTGGTAGCTCATGTTATGAGGGAGGAGCATAAATAGACAAGGTCCTGCCTATAATAAAGCTTGAAGTTCTGTTCAAGACATAATTTCAGTTACATAAAGGAATCTGTGATAAGCTAAATGACGGAGTATCTGGTGCGGTGGGCCTACAATAAGGAAGTGAGCCTGGCTCAGGCTGCGTGGCTGTGAGATAATGCCCGCCGAACTCCCAGCAAGGTGCTCAGCGCATAGCGAGAGCTTCGTGAGGAAACGGTAGCGATCATTACTGCACAGCGTCTTTTCCTGCAAAGAACCACAGACGTGAATATTTTTAGTGGGACGTGACTCATATGGTTGACTTTTGTCAGCATCTGGATTTTCTATCTTATAAAATAATCCTTTGACCCTCTTACTTATTTTTCTTAGAAAGAAACGAGGGCAGAATACTTACTAGAGTCATTGCTTAAAGATAGGCCACTAATGTAGACATCTAAACATGGTCATCTTGTTCAATAGTTAATGCCAAGATAAGGTAAAGAAGAAACGACTTGAAGCCAGGGCTTTTGAGGCCACTGATTGTTTGGTAAATTTTGATTCATAGTCTCATTAAGGCCTCATCAGCCTTGTGAGTATTAGTCAGGGCAGGCCGCTCTATGCTGGGATCTTCATTCCCTGGCAGCCAGGACAGGGTTATGCTAATGCTGATTGGTCTCTGTGTTTCTGTAATTGGCTGGTCCTCAAACATAAAGGCATGGTGCATATCTGCACAAGTTCTCTTTGCTTTCAGGCTGTGTACAATTAGCAGCAAGGTTTCATATCTCATGGCATTCAGTAGTTCCACTTAATTAGGAACTGCTTCTGACCCAGGCTAACTGATGGTTGTAATGACTGAAGCAAACATGTTTCCCTGAAAAGGAGAAAATGAAATCTCAAAAGTCATTGCACAACTGAGAAAGTGTCCTGTGTGTGTGTGTGTGTGTGTGTGTGTGTATTTAGGTTAGGTGTTCTCATTTCTGGCTGAAGAACTATTTTACAGGTTATGGCAACACAGTTGGGATACACCAGAAGGGCTAAGGCAAGAATAAAATGTTGAAACTGGGTCTGTCTTTCTTTTGGGGACTCCTGTTTTTATTTCATTGTTAATCTTTTCCTTTTTCTCAGGCACTGATTTTCACAATGGGAAAAAAAAAAGATTAAGGCAATGTTGATCACATGCTAAAGTAGCTCTTCCTTGAACCAAAATAAAGGCACCAAAATGATTCCACACACATCCGGTGTTAAGCTTACCTGAATATATTGCTTATCATATCGTGGGTAAGGGCTTGGACTGTGAAGTCAGATGAATCTTGACTCTTCCACCTGCTAACTGTGAACTTGGAGGAAGTTACTTTTAGCTTCTGTGCCCCTTGTTTCCTGATTTATAAAAAGGAAAATATAGCTGTAGCTAATTTAAAGACTATGTGAATATTCAATTAACTTATGTCTGCAAAACACCTACCCAGGGATTGGTGAGTACTAAGTGCTAAGTGACCATTGGCTCGTGTGAGTTTTGTTTACCCAGTTTTTTACTTCTGCTGGCTAGAACTTATGAATAAGTTTGGAATGCCCAGTTGATACAAAAGAGAAGGCTCAAATTTTATGTATTTATCTATCTCCCCAGACATAGTAAAGTTTCGGTGAATACTCGTTTCTTTGGAGTTCCAGTCATGTTAGCATTAAATTAGTAAGACATGTATTAATTGGGCAAATGGGAGGCTGATCTTTGATGGTCATTATTAGTATTTGTATTACTTTAGGACTTAAAAATTCTTTCAACATACATAACATACATAGCTTTTATTTAATTCATAAAATAATGCTGGTAATTAGGAAGGTAAGGGACTATATTTTGTTTTGTTTATATATTTGTTTATATGTTCTTTCCTTCTTTTAATAAATACACATGGTGCCTGTGAAGTGTCACCCACTCTGCTCATGCTGGTGAAGCAAAAGGATGAGCTCCCTGTCTGCATGGCTCTGTCTTGGATGGTCCTCCAAATGTACACATTAAGATTCTGGCCAGGCGTGGTGGCGCACGCCTGTAATCGCAGCACTCGGGAGGCTGAGGCAAGAGGATCGCTGTGAGTTCGAGACCAGCCTGGGCTACATAGTGAGTTCCAGGTCAGTCTCAACTACATAGTGAGACCCTGTCTCAAAAAAAAAAAAAAAAAAGATTCTGAAAGATGATATCGACAAGGAAGATAGGACCAGTGAGAAATGTATTATGAATTAAAAATTGAGATTCAGTCTGACAGAGCCAGATCCCAAACTGTAAATTCCCAGTCGTTTGTACTGGATCCCAGTGCTGGCCTTGATGAGTCTATAATTTGGAAGAAATGCTAGAGATAGGCTATTGTAGCCATTCATTTTACAGATTAAAGATGGTGAAGTTTATTTTATTTTATTTTTTTAATTGTTTATTGGTACATTTTAGGTATACAGTACAGTTACATTCATCATTGGGATCTTGTACCTTTACATGACAGGTCTTGGTTCTCATTTTTTCCCCTTGTCACTGCCCTCCCTTAACCCCGTCACTGCCCTCCCTTAACCCCCTCCTCCCCTCCCTGTTTACAAACACTTTATTTACATTTTTTCATATTTTTTTCTTTTCCCTTATTCCCTTTCCCCTACCCTTCCCACATTTCCTACACCTTTAGCCCTTTTCTTCCTATTTCACGTTTGTCAATTATCTCATTAGGATCTTATGTACTATTATAGTTTTATACACCAGAGAAACTATTTGGTATTTACACATGTGTGACTTATTTATTTCACTTAGGAGTATATCCTCAAAATGTATCCATTTTCCTATGTGAATTTAATTTCTCATTCTTTATGGCAGAGTAGTATTCCATTTTATAGAAAAACCACATCTTCTTTATCCAGTTTCCAAGTGATGGGCAAATGGGCTGTTTCCAAATTTCAGCTATTACAAACTGTGCTGCTATAAACATAGGTGCACATATATCACTGTTCTGTGATTCTTTTAATTCTTTTGGAAAGATACCCAGCAGAGGGATGGCTGGGTCAAATGGAATCTCTAGTCCCAGCTCTTTGAGGTATCTCCATATTTATTTCCATAGTCGTTGCACCAGTCTGCACTCCCATGTTCATTGCAACAAAATTCACAATGGCCAAGTTATAGAATCAACCTAAGTGCCCATTATATAAAGAAAAATATAATAAGTATTCTATGTATCTATGTATCTTATCTATCTATGGTGTGTGATGGATAAATGACTTGTTTTTTAAGGGTAAATAGTATAAAAATAAAAATATATAGGGCCGGGGATTTAGCTCAATGGTATCACTGCCTCCCTCAAAAGCACAAGGTTCTGAGTTGGATCCCCGGTACCCCAATATAAAAGATACTGTTTTATAATATTT